ATCCTTTACTCGGGGGTTGTAGGCATTTCTGGCTGAGCCAGCATGTATTGCCCCTTGAGAAGGTGGGGGTGAGCTACCGCCTTGAACCGCTGCACCCTCCCTGTGCTGTTGGTTGACCCACGATGCCCTTAGGGAGGGAATTCCATGTATGTTTTTGATGGGGACTGTGTAGAGGTAAGTTCTACTTTCAATTTAAGCAAATCAAGGTAGCTTTACTCTGAATTTTAACCCTGTGCTGTCCCTGACCTGGGAGTGTTTGATGGGGACAGTGTACAGGGAGCTTTACTCTGTATTTTAACCCTGTGCTGTCCTGGCAGTGTTTGGGGGATAGTGTAAAGAGAGAGCTTTACTCTGTATCTAACCACGTGCTGTCCCTATCCTGGGGGTATTTGATGGGGTCAGTGTAGAGGAACCTTTACTCTGTATCTAACCCCATGCTGTCCCTGTCCTGCGAGTGTTTGATGGGGACAGTGTACAGGGAGCTTTACTGTCACTTTAAAAGAGCAGAGAGAGCTATACTCTAATACAGTGCTGTATCTCTGCTCCAAGTGTGTTTACTGATGTTGCTGGATTGCTCCAGCCTAACATGCTGTGTTTATCAGTGTACGTGGGCCTTGTACATAACTGGCAGCACTTGTGAACATTCTGGAAATTCCATTCACCCTTCTATCCTGCCTGGCCAGGAAATGGCCTTGCGGAGCAATCTGATATTTTCCCCTTTTGCCACAGTCCTGTCTCCTGAAGGAGCTTCAAAATGCCCCTTCGATTTCTAATGCCTTGTCCTGTGAGGGGTTGTGTTTTTTTTTCTTCCTGTGGTGTATCTCGATGTTTACTGGTGTCCATGCTGGAGACATCGTGCTCTGTCTTTGTTCCAATTTGATTCCTTCCCATCTCTGCTGGGCCTATGTTGGATGTGTTAGGTATTTGGGAAGTGCCAAGTATTTTCTCTGGGAAACAGTGGGGGGCTGATCTCTCAGGACAGTCAACAGCGATGAGGAGACTTTCAGATGTTCTCCATCAGAGCCTTGTTTATGTTTAATTGCTGGTCGGGTCTGGCGTAACCAGACCCGAAAAGAACAGTGCGACACCTAAATCAGCAATTTGACAGTGTGAGGCATCACAGTCCAGAACGTGTCCCCTGATGGCCTATGGAAGTGGATTCAGTTGAAAGTTTCAGAATGGAATTGGGTAAAGGTTCAGGAAAGAGGATTTTGCGGTGATCTGGGCTCTAACTCCATTAGCATTTTCAAAGATCCAGCACAGGCATGATGGACTACATGGCACGGTGGCTCAGTGGTTAGCACTGCCACCTCACAGTACCAGGAACTCAGGTTCAATTCCACCTTTGGGTGACTGCAAACTCCACACAGAAATTCTCCGTGTCTGTGTGGGTTTCCTCCGGGTGCTCCGGTTCCTTCCCACAGTCCAAAGATGTGCAGGTTAGGGTGGGTTGGCCATGGAAAATTGCCCCATAGTGTGCAGGGATGTGCAGGCTAAATGGATTAGCCGTGAGATGCTGTTTGTTGGGTCGGTGTGGACTCACGGGCCGAATGGCCTGCTTCTGCACTTTAGGGATTCTATGAATAAGAGCCCTTCCTTTTGTGCTGGAGCGTTCTGTGAGGATAAACGAGTGTGTTTTTGTGTTTCAAAGGCATCTTGTACCTTTATTTTTGTGCGGTTTGATGGGTTTTTTTGCTAATTATAAAACGTGAGAAGCGAGTGGATAGGCTGGGTTTGTTTTCCCCAGAGCAGAGGAGGCTGAGGGAGGTTCTGATTCAAGTATACAAAATTGATGGATTCGGTAGTTTGTTTATTGGTCAGCGTAGACATGGTGGGCCGAAAGGGCCTGTTTCCACGGTGTGTGATTCTGGCACCGTGCCAAGCAGAAGGAGGTGAAAAATATGCGTGTCACCCATAAGAGGTTTTTAGTTTCCAAGTGTGGGGTGTTCCCCTGGCTGTGAGGCTATTGAGTGTAGGTTGATGTATGCTCCGATGGGTCGTATCTCCGACAGTCCAGCACTCCCTTAGCGCCATGCTGAGGGGAGTGCTGGCCTCGATCATGGTTGAAGCCTGGGAGTAGGCCTCAAAACACATTATCCGACTCTGCATTGGGAGGGTTAGCTGCTGTTGTTACCACAGCCTGGATTGGAAAGCTGACAAAACCCCTGGGCACCGCTGAGAGTAAATCAGCAAGATGCCCCCACTCCTGGTATTTAATCACAGTTGGGTGGAGTTGGATTAGGCAGAGCATGACACCATGAAATGTTCTCACTGATTTGAAAACTCTCTCGCGTTTAACTGAAGCTCCCGTGTTTGTTTATTTGGGTACGTTCAGCGACCTGTGTCTTTTGCTGTCTTTTTTTTTGATTTTTTTTTCACCAGAAGTTCACTTTTTGTACCCTTCTGCTGGTTTATTGCTGACAAATGTAGGTTTCCTGGAAACCAATTATTGCTAAACGGACGTTTAATCTTGTGGTTCAGCTGAAGTTCCTCATTTACATCAGTTTATTCAGCGAACATTCCTTCCATTCCAGAGCACAGACCAACAACTGACCTGTTCGGTCAGAGTCGACGTCTCCCCTCTCCTCTTCCCCCTTCCTTCATCTCCCTTGTTCTCTACCCCCTCCCAATCTGTCACATCCCCACTCT